CATACATCCTTAAATTGCTCGACTTACGATCAAATTAATTTTAACAATTAAGGACGTTCACTTCTTGTATGAAACAGATGATAATCATGAAATAGAGATAATACTTTATTTATATTTAGTATTAAAAAGTTCAGATTGGGAATCCTCTTTGGGTTCGGATAGGGCTGCGAAAGTTGTCACGTTTTGTTCGGGTAGCTGTAATTTTGGGACTTGAACTCGACTCGGGACTCAAACCTGAATTTCGTAAACCTTACTGCATTTAATCTTGATTATACAATAGTTTGAAAAATCATGCTGTGAATATAACGAGGGCACCCGAATTGAGTTTCGAGCCCCGAGTTGATGTGCGTGTCTCGTAATTACGGGCACCGGAACAAAGCGTGCTGGTAAAACTTGCGGGATTGCGTCCGACTCGACCCGAGACTCGTGTGCTCGAATTTTCGGATGCTTGCAAATCTTCATTATTTAAATCACTATTACGTGTTTGTTTAATAAAAATAAAGAGACGACGAAGAGAACAAGATAGATTGTACTGTAGCGCGGAGGTCCGTAGCGCTCGCGTACAGGTTCGAGGTGGAAACGAGTGAAGCGAGACAAGGATGATAGAATGTGGTGTCCTTCTTTTCGGACGAACTGTTGCTGATCCGTTTGTAACTGTCACGGCATTCCAACATAATCGTCACTTTCCAGATACGCAGCGTAATCTCCGAACAAGTTTTCTCTAATGTATGCAATCCACCGACAAAACAAATAAATTAACACTCGCATATGCTTGCGTTTTAATTTCCAGACCTTTCTCGTTCCCCTATCATTCATTATATTCATTGTATATCTGTACCTTTTTTTGATGATATTCTATTATATGTAGAACCTTTCATATTTTATTTCGTGCTCTAAACATATTCTAATTTGCTCTGCGTTAATTATTATACATCTAATTAAAATAAAATCTGTCGATATGCATTCATTATCCATCATATCGTGGGATGAATATTTTACTGCAGACAGATTAGTTGTTCGAGCGGAGGAGATCTCGCGAGCGGAGATCGGGGCCTTTCCGGAAATGCACGTTGCTATAGTAGTTGGTCAAGGCCATCAACTCATTGAACATCCTTCCACGTTGAGTACAGAGTACGTACAAAGAAGTATGTGGAACGGCAACCTGTCGATTTACGCATAGGCGTACCGACGATATTTTTTATCTTCCGACTCGGAGCGTTACGAGAAATAATATTGCAGTATCGACCTGATTATCTAATTACTTAATATGTATCAGTTGATATAAAATCACAGAGAAATTGATAGATCGATAAAACTAATTATGTGTTCATTTCATGTTTGATGTGTATTTAAAGCTCTAGGACTGCTTGATCCAGGTACAGATTAGATAAAATTTGATAGACTTAATGTGATTACGACATTGGCGTATCAGATTTACCGCTTTGAGCGCTTGCAGGTCATTGATTCGCAACAGTCTCTCGCGTAAATAGTTCCCGACGGTTTTTAAAGAAAACATTGCCAACAATGACCTAATAGCACATGAAATCTAGAAAGTCCAACCGGCAGAACCCGTATTTCCGCGTCATGCTGGTCTCGCACACTCAACCTTCGTGCTGCGATGAAATTGAACCGAATACGCTCTAAGTATTCCGATTGCGTTCCCTTGAACTTAATTCGCATCACTCGATACGATCCGATTTTGTTCAGACGTTTTGCGTTCAGTTTAATCATATTTGATTAAATCGCATGTCGATATTATTTTAAATGTTGCAGTACAAATGAAGAAAAGAGAAATGCATAACTTACCCATGAGTGAAATCCAGGATACTCTTGAGTCTTCGATGATTTCGTTGAGGTATTCGCTAGTATAAACGTGAGGTGCGAGGAACAGAAAACAGTTCCGATTTGAAGGATAGATGATATTTATTCCATTATTTTATCGTTTATTACTTACTACTTGAATGTTATATTCGTAATAGGTATCTATAATTATGTCGATAATTATGCGTGAATTTAAAGAATACGTGAGGTCAGCCGCAAGATTTACAGCCCGCGTCAGTGTTACAATCATCGTACAATTAAATTAAAAAAACGAAATTTACGGTTTTATTTCTCGTTGATGCAAACACTCGAAGGATAGGATGGGAAATTGTAATCGGGGCTGGGACGATGGCGGCTCATCGATTTCCTAATTCATACCTATCTCATGTAATTTACACACGCTGGAATCCATTCTTAATTGCGGTTAGAATACTCTTTCAGTTACATCGATTCGGAGACTCCTCTAACGCCGACCTAATTTACCCTTACTTATTATTATTATAAATTCCTAATTATCTTACGAAATCGCAACGCGAAATATCCGGTACGCGGAGGTACCGTTCTTATTTTTCTTACTTCTTCACCTAATCGTAACGAGTTCAATTCTCGTTTTAAACAATATACAAATATCTCTTCTCGTACTCGACAATTAGAATCGTTATTGATTTAAACTCGTGCTTTGTTTACAATTGATTCTGCGCTACACACGATTCAATACGAACTATTGTACGCGGCTCCGTTTCAAGCAATTTTTGGTCTATCCGTAACGCAACGTTCCTTTTAACTCACAAGAAAATAATGTCGTTATGCATAAAACGACGCGTCCTTCGCAGGATAAACGAAAAGTCAAATATGTAATATAAAAATTCACTACACAATGTGTATTAACATTGTGATTAATTGATTAACAATTAAATAAGACGCAGTTCCAAAAGAAATCTACCTAAATTCGGGCGACGAAAATGTAGCAACGAAAACGAGAAATTTTATAGAAATATCATCAATTCCTTCATAATTATAAGAACATAAAGAGAAACGACCCGAATTTAAGAACTTAACTCTGTCTTTCCCATAAACAAGAATAATGATAATTATTACATTTTATTAATGAAATATGATATCATTTGCTTTTTGGTTTAACGATAAAGTAATTTGGGGAAAGATAGGATTAATGAACGAAACGAACGTCAACGCCCGTTAATTATCAGGAACACCGCGTTGTTATCGTACATACGTAGGCTATTTAATCCGAATTGCACTCTCGAGAATTTGTACAACTTACATTTACATTTGAATCACGCCGAAATAATACACGTGTGCGCGTGTACACGCTGCCGGTACCGTGGCATCGATCAGAAAATAAAACGGGCAAATGTAAGACTCGTACAGGCTACCGAACAATTTCAACGATCGCCACGAAGATTATTTACACACCGAGTCGAACGAGGATCGAATTCCAAACAAGTATTAAATTATGTCTCGTATAGTTGTTCGATCGCGTTCACGTGTGCAATCGCTATCTTGTACGGATTCACGTGTTCTTTATCAACCAGACAATTAAAAGAAACTCTCGATTCTTACACAATTGAACAATACGTTCTTCCAATGTAATGCTGTCCTTTCGAATACCGAGAACGATAAAACGAATTAAAGTTCCTCGAACACCGCTTGTCGCACGAACTGGCGATCAACAAACGATCGTCTCGAACGGATGAAAATTCATCTAATATGTACTATCGACGCACACTGGCCGGATTCCCGCCGCAGCGGATTAAATCCTAAGGGGATGATAGGAAGGGGGGTGGGAGTTACAATACTCGAAGAACCGTTTCGTCGGGTTCCTCTCGTTCGGACATAGATAAGACGTGAGACCCGAGTGTCTGCGTACTCTCAATAATATCATTGCAGCCTTTGAATACTGTGCGCTTCTCGATTTAACTAAAAACCGATCCACTGTGTGCAACACGATCGAGATTGCAACGTCTCGAACGTATAAAGAATGCCCGTGAATTCGTCATCGATAAAATGTGAACAACGTTATCGATTGACCCCTCGTCACAATTCCCGCATACCGTTTCATGCACGCCGTCCCGTTCTTTACTCCCTCTTCTAAATAAATTAAGTTTTAATATCGATACCGTTGACCATTCTAAAATTCTTTGCAACGAGAAACTGAAAAAAGACGTTGCGTTCTCGTGGATCCTCTTGCGGTTAATACGTGAATGTATACAACTTCGTGGAAGATATCGACGCTTATCTTTCTCGGAAGGAATAACTGATGGATCGTAGAATGATGCCACAATAACGAGTACAGGTATTTTTTTTTTAATACTACCGATGCTCGCGAATCGCTGCGCTGACGTACAATCTTGCGGCGGGATCGATCGTTCGTTTTTCTTTCTTTTTCGTTTTTTTACTAAACGAACTTCGTACGATGATTCTATTTCGCGTGGAACTTTTATTCCAATTATTTGGAATTTCACGGACGAATTACCTTCCTGGGAGATCGATCGATCTCGCTTCGAGTATCCGCGAAAGGCGTTTCGTCGACGTTTTAAAGCTAATAAAACGGCGAGAGTCGAGAATGAACACGCGCTTAATAAATATGCTCTATCGATAAACACATATACGGTTATTCTATTGTTAATGTCTATATCTTGTACCTTTGACATCGATTTTTCAATTTATACGTACGTATGTATCATATGTCTGATTATGCGCTATCAAAGCGCGTGCTCGTTTTCAACGCCTGCAGCGCATTCAAAGCGCAATAGATTCGCGATACCGGGAGTGTACTTGTAATCTTTTTTTTTTTATCACAGTTACGTTTTTCGACGACCGAGGAAACCGATGAAACGTCGCGAACAGCTCTCTGTGGCAAATGAACATATCGAGGGGAGAGGCTAGAGGGGAATGGGAAGCGACTACTACTCTCGTATATATATAAAAACATCACACATACTGCTTTCTCGAACTGTACAAAAAATATAGCGTTTTCTTTCAACTTAGAGCCAATAAGGAAGCACTTAGCATTTTTCTTTTTCCTTTGTTAGAAAACAAAACTGGGGTTCCTAAGAGAGTAGGAGACGGTACGGGGATCTTCTAAACGGGAAATTACCGTTCAATGATAAAAAAAACGACGTCGAAACGGGATTAGTCTGAATCAAATGGCACGGGCGTATATATATTAGATACAATTAAAAATTTCGAGTACCACCGTGGTCGAAGCAATCGAAACGTAACTTTTTTAAGAATCGTGATACCAAATCTACGTTTTCATTTTTTTTTTTTTTTTAAATCGACATTTTTCTACGTTTCAAGACCTTCGAGTCGTTCGGAGTGATACTCGAAAGGTCTCGTCCCGTGTCCATTTGCGGAAACAGCGAAAGATCGTCGGTCGACGACGATTCGAGATGATCGTGCGCGTATGTACAGGAGTAATTTTTCTAAGAATGTACGTCAACGCGAAATTACGAAAGAAATTTGCGTGAAACAGAGTGCTCTCACGAAGATTCGATAACTCTTGGTTTTTAAACGGGACCCTTCGCGAGGAAGGCCGAGAAAAATCATGGACGAGGCCCCCTCACTCAGCAGAGGGAGAATACACTCAAATATTGTGCATTTCTCTCATCGAGCTCAGTTCTTCCTTTTTTTTTGGATTTTTGTTTTTTAAATTTTCCTCTGCCCTTATGCTTTGACTCGAAGGGAAGGGACCGGGCCGAAGGAGAGATTATTATCGTAGAGTAGTGCGATGAGGATAGTTCTGGATTTTCGTAGGAGAAAGAGATAGAAAGAGAGAGAGAGAGAGAGAGAGAGAGAGGAGGATCTTTTTCTTAGAACGTTAGTTTGGTCTCGGAGCCCAACGACTCGTGAAGAGTTATTGTATGTAATAATCGGGATGATCTGAGTCCTTCTCAAACCTCTTCGCCTCTTCCTGCATGCTCTCCTTGATCTTGAGTATGGCCGCTGACTCAGTTTGATCCTGCGAATCAACCAACACCAGGCCGGTTACACGTAAGACGTCAGGCAAGACCACCACGAGGCGATATCTTGCCCAAATTTCGTTTTCTCAGCGTTTCATCAGCGAGCCGTGACGGCACCAAAATTATTTTTAAATGTGAAAATGAAAAAGTTTTACTCGTCAAACCCAGCGCCGTTGAAGGTGCTCGAAACTCACTCATCGCGGTTCGCTGATCCCGAGGTAAACTCTCGGGGGTTTAAAAAGAAAAGAAAACGCTGACATGCCGCAAATTGTTTGTGCGGCGCGGTGACGGTGCGTCGTGAAGGGGCTGGGCTCGTGAAACGCAAAAACTTAAAGAGAGGATTAACACATGAATGAACTAGGAAAAGAAATTTGGTTTCGGGAACCGCGAATTAAGGTTCCACATTTCCAGGGCGCTCTGACCCACAACACATGGACGTTACATAAAAAAGAAGCCCGTATCGAGCAAAAAAAAAAAAAATAGAAATAAATAAATAAATGAAGAGAATGTACAAATAAAAATTTCCTGCGCCTTTCGTGTGCGCCACTTGCCCCCCACTCACGCACACCTCACCAACAATGAAAAAATCTTAGTCAAATATTAAGAAAAAATTGTAACAGAGAAACTCGACGTGTCATCCCTCACGGGTTATATAGAATAAATTTTCTGCTGATCAATACTTTGCAATACTTTTAAATCGTGTCTCGATACGATCTCGCAATCCACCAATCGCTTTGTGCTCACGCATCCATGTGCTACAGGTCAGTACAGGCTAGTACTATATACAGCTATCAGATTTCACTATTTCTTCCGTTTCTCTATTCATCGAAATCGACTTTCAAATATTCACCGTTTGCGTTAGAGTCGTTAGGTAATATCACAGGACATTGTGTTCCACAGTATGTAACATTCTTTTCTCATGCTTCGATTTACTCCGACGATATCCGAGGATTGATGGACAATCCTGATTTACACACTTATTTACGTGCTCAGTGTTAGTCTCCGAATCTGAAGCAAGTGTCTTTAACATTAGTGGCAAAAACTTATGTGACGTTGAAGCAACATTAAAAACATATTTCATACGCACATATAATTGCCGCGTGAGCGGCGAATGTTTCGTGTTAGAACAAATGTACAGATTACGCTTAGAAAAAAAAAAAGAGAGAAAGAACGCGTGACCGCGTGAATATTCATCGCAGTAATTCCGTGTCGAGCCGCCGACCGGGTTTTCATTTAAGAAAATAACGCAATGTGAAACACAAATGACATGTGATTACCAGAAAAATAAAGAAAGTAACGTAACGTAGCGGAAACAGATAGTCATATATAAACGTTTTTGTAGCCAGCACCCTGCGGATTTGAACGCAAATAAAAAAGAAAAACGCAGTAGTTCTCAGTGTAACAGGTTTACATTTATTGTCTCGATTTCCCCTGGGCTTAGGCATATATTAATAAATGTAATCGTTCGTCGCCATTCATTTGCTTACAACGTGGGGCTGTGTTAAAAGTAGTTCGACGATTCTCGTTTCTAAAGTACCATTATAGTGCGCTTCACGCCGTAATATGTAATATTATATCTTTTTCTCCGAGGCACGCTTTATCGGGCAACCTTGAAATTACTTTCCTCTGAATAACGCACGACAACGGGTCGCGTTACAAGCAAAATAAAATGAATTCTACCAACGTTAACAATTCCACGTTCGATTCGCTTCGTTTTGGCTTTCCTCGTTGTGAGACATTTACACAGAACACGATCGATCCAGTGAAGTTTAAAGGCAAGGAAAAACAGCGCAAACGTTGAACGACGATTTGCGTTATACACGCAACTTTCAATCTAATTGAATAAATTGTTCGAGCGGATTCAACCGTTAAATTCATAATTAAGTTACGAGGATTTTCTTAGTTCGAAATGATGTTCGTCGACATCTCGCACCGATTAAACGTTATTAAAGTTGGTAAAAGCAAATATTTTAGTTGCCTCTCGTTACGTGTGTATATTTATATATGTATATTTATATATCTATATGTATATGTGTATGTGTGTGCTTCTTTTTCTTCCTAATTAGTAAAGTACGCACGTTAATTGACACGGTGGATACTCCGGAACAACGGCAAGCAGCTTACACTTTTTTCTCTTTTCTTTTTACCCTTTTAAAAAAACATTCAAAACTAATATAGAATATAAGACAGTCTTCTTTCACGGCGAACTTTCATTGCGCTCCGAGCTCGGCAAAAGAAGTGGCATGAGTAATTATCGTCCGACTAGTGTTCATCGAAACCCTACAAAACCCTCGTTCACTCGTTAGATCATAATTAACATTGATTACTTTCTCGTATCCTAACAATATTATCATTATATATATTTTATACAAAATATATAATTATTAAATTACAATGTTATAAATATTAAACGATGTATACTCGTGTAAAAAAAAGAGGAAATACGTATATAAAACTAAGAAAAAGAATGAATAAAAACGTGGCAAAATTAAACCTAATTCTAATTCCTCGAGAAGTCGCAAATGGTATCGCGTGGAAAATATCTACATTCGATCGTCCTCGAGTTAGTCGATAGTCGATCTTGCCGGTGCTCTCAGAGTATGCACTCGCAATTCTCTCCCTCTCTCGCGCTTCTCCTTTCTCTCCTCTCGTGATTACATAATTCCATCGACACCTTTTTTTTTCTTTTTTTCTTCAATATTTTTCGATTAATTTAAAACACAACTAACAGCAGCACAGCATAGTCCGGTACTGACCTATAACCATAACGGACGGATGGATGCCGGGAGGTTCGCACGATTTTTCCTTTTTCATTTCTCGTTATCTCCTTTATCGGCCCGTATCTATTTCCACTTTCATTTTTTCTTTACGTTTGTCACACTCACTCGTTTAGGTTCAGTACTTACACCGTCTACGACTCTTATACAAAAATAATTACACGTTATATATATATCGTCGCGTGTACGTTATATATATAACTACCCTTCCTTTATATTATATTCCCAAGTACTTTTTTTCGTTAAGTCGCGGCACCATTCGCCTCGCAATACTCGCCGGAGTCAGCGAATCGTTGTTGGACGAGGAAACTCGATAAGCTAATCTCGAAGGAACTTGAGATTTCCGTTGTTGGTTCGAATTTTTAATAGGAACTTGCTCTCGCGAAAAGTAACTTTAAAATCGTATTACAGTTAAGTTAGAGGATTAAAAAATGCAGTCGCAGCGCTCGATGCCCGCATACGCGAGCGAACTCCAGCAAAAGAACCAGCATTTTTAAAAAGTGATCGTGCATGACTAGATTTGTACGCGTTTGTCTCATGATGGTGCCAACACTTTTTTTCGTTGTCTTTCAAACAAGTCACTTAGTTTATATTTTAATTAAGTCGTCGAGCATTGCGATGTCAATGGCTGCGAGATAAATGGTGCGCTTGTCATTAAAAAAAAAAGAGAGACTTGTTTCGTTTATCGATAATGCGAATTCTGAGCAAATAGTGGAGGGACTCGGTCCGAGTTCGGCTGATTTTAATCACCTCATTACAGAGCGTCGTTGATTCAGAAAGGAATTCCAACGATTAGGCAAGTGTGTGTAAAAAGTGACGCGCGTAAAACTAAATAGGCATCCGCTTGTATCCTGTTCGCCTATTGTACCGTCAATGCATATCAGCGTACACATCGAATTGTAAAGTATAAATACATTAATTGGTTTTATGCATTAGTCATGTTTTATCGAAGTAATTTCCATAATTGTGCCATTGAGTATAAAAATTTACGTATACAGATAGCAGATGATACGCAAAGGCGTCACGATATGCGAACGCGATAGAAATGGATACCCGTAGCTGATCGCGTTGAAGAATCAATTTCACGTTTTTCGATGACTCAGTTTAATCGAACGGTGTATTTGTTGATTCAATAAAATAGAAAGCACAGTGGAAGTGATTAATTCCTGCTTTCAATTTTGTCGAATGAACAATACAATTAAACTGAAGTGAAAAATACGTGTAAGAATTCTGACCTAACTCTATAATGGGATGAAAAATAAGCCAGGTGGCTAGCGGCGAGCTAGCGGTGCGAATTGATAGAAAGAAAATAAAATAAGAATAAAAAATAATAGTAGTAATAATAATAATAAAAAAAAAGCTAGGATAGAAAAGAGAATTGAGAAATCGATTGACAATTATGCGATTGATAATCACAGTATGTAGTTCGCGGTTTTTCAGGCACCTTTGCTTACAAGCTAACGTTCAAATAAATATAAATAGACGTTGGCGTTGACACGAGTCGATAAAAAAAATTCATCGTACTGTCGACAATAAAAATGTAAATTGAAATAATCGTATTAAAAAAAAGTCAAATAAAAATAAAGAAAAAGAATAATAAAAATCCTAGTCTGCAACCTTGTGAGTATTTAGCAAAGCATATATATAATATATATACTTCTCGATATCTGTATAGTGTAATTAAATCATGATTCAAGTTATGCATCATAATTCCATATGTAAGTAGCGTAGTAGTGAGCACTTAAATGCTAGCCTAACTCGATTAGAGGCGAATAATTAAACGAACGCACGTCGAGACGCGAATGCACGCGTGTATGTGTGTTTGTGTGTACGTGTATTTTGTGTCTTGCCACGAGCGTACAGTAAGTGCTTGAGCCATTGAAGAATATCGCGTACGAACCGCGTGTAACACGTGACGTGGATCGCACGTGACAACGTAAAACTCAGTGGTTTCGAATTTATCCTTCTTTTCCACATTGCGTGATTAACCGGGAAATCTACGGCATCTACGAACTCGAGGCTGGATCCAAGGCGACTTGACTTTTTAAAAAAACTGTCGGGAATACAGAAGGCGCACGTGCGAGATTACTTATCACTCCTTTCATTCAGAATCCTACTCGTTATTCCGCAATAATAACGTAAGATTAAAAAGGAAAAGGAATACCGTTTTTCGCGCGCTCGTTAAACGACTCGATTATACAATTATCAAACGATTTTCCGCAATGCGTATCGTATCCGGCAATATTTTTATTCTAGTAGGCGAACGCGATGATTAAATTCACATTTTGTACATCTCATTCGACAACAAATAAATTGTAAGAAACTGCGATATGTTTATACACATGAATTTCAAATCTCTATACATATTTTATACGATACACCTTACGGAACATCTCATGTATTATCGTACGAAAATTGTTCTATACTGTTTTGTAGATGTAAAGTAGGTAGAAAAGGTCTCGAAACATTTAAGTCACAATCTCTGGACGCAATCGTAATAATACTTTTAATTCTCGATCCCAAGGTTTGATACCTTCACGAATGAAAGACTATCTGTCGAATGCTTCGGGATTTTTATACCCACTTTATGTTCGCATCATTAGCCATACTGTTAGTATGATAATAGTTAGACACAATCTGAGCCAAATAGTTACAACGACATTAGATGCAAGTGGAGATAATCTAAATTAAATTTCCCAACAAGCCTAATACGATTAAATAGGACGTTTCGAATCATTGTCAAGTATCGATACGTTTTGGATTAAGCATTAACCAGGTGGTTGGAATAAGCTCGAGGATAAGCCCTTTAATTGTAGTAAAACCCAAATTATTTTTTAATCAAATAATTAACTAATTGACGCATTGACGAAAGCACCTGTATCTGTTAATTGCTGAAGAAGAATCGGTTATCATATGGACTCATATTTCATCCTAATGCATTCAACAGCGAATTGATACTTTAAAATAGACGATTTATTAATTTAATTAAGACTAAAGATAATTAATTGAAGATCACATATAAGTCCATACTAACACGTCGAGTGACTGTAATAGGGATTCGGTAAATAAAACTTACTAATACTTACATTTTCTCCGGGACCTCCAAAACCACCAAGATTATAATCACCCATTCCACTTCCACTGTCTTCTCGTGGTGTACCAGGACCGCCATTAGCCGGACTGTTTTTCATTCCATCGAGGCCGTCACCATTCAGAACAGGACCCATCGTGTTCGGACCCATAGGTCCCATCGGGCCACCCTCTGGTCCGCCGCTCATCGGAAAATCCTGATACAATCAAAAATACCATTAATCCATTTCAGTTCATTGATGACATCGTTTCAAAATTATAGAAAGAAAAAGAAAAGAGACGATTACTTACACCAGGCATATTTCCTCCAGGTACAGGTTTCATCATGGTGTACATATTTTCACCACCACTATTACTACTATCTTGTGGGCTGGGCATGATCGGTGTACCCGGGCCTGGAGGACCCGTCGAACCGGGTGGCCCTCCGTAATTACCCGGCGATGATGATGAATAATTCATTGGCTATAATCAAAATTCATTATTAACGAAACGTTCATGAAATGGATCATTTAGAGGCATGATTATGATATAAAGGAGATTCGCACCGTGGACGTGTTTGGTTGCCATTGTTGTCTACCGCCTGGACCTGCCATACTCATTGGTGGCATACCGGGACCTCCAGGACCTCCTGGACCTAAACTACTGTTGGGTGGTGGACCCCTCATTCCTGGACCGTAACTACCAGGTCCCATGGGGCCCATGCCTGGTCCTCGTGGAGGATTCATCCTTGGATTCATCGGATTCATGCCTGGAGGAGCTATGAATAAAAACAATATTTGATGCGTCTGCGTCAAGTCACAAGTATTAATGCTGTTCTAGTTTTATGTTAATACTAATGCAAATCGTGAATCTTTGGATCAACGGCAAATCATGTGACAATACGGAGTATTTGTATATATTATGTATAAATTTGTTGATACTTTTTATTTATTAGCTATACTAGCGTTTATAATCGTTCTGAAATGAAAACGATATCATGCTTTGCCGAAGTCATTTCTAAACAGTGAAGCGAGTGGATGGCATGCCAAATTGGTAATTCACATACTACACAAATTAATCGAGTGACAAAGCTCATGCGAAGGATGAGAGACAGCACTACCGAGTGATAAACGTCTGAGCTTCAAACTTTGACAATGGAAAGATGAAACAGTGCAATGCATAACAAACAAGACAATCATGCCTGGTCAGAAAGGATTGCGGTATCATACAGCAATATGTATGTTTATAATGACATGAATGAATTGCATAATATTGTAAAGTCTTGTATAAACAAAAAATAAATAAATAATTCTTTCAATAATGTGAAACCTTTTCACATAATTTGCGATAAAAAAAACTGGTTACAAGTCTTTGCATATGTTAAGTTTGTGCTGCAGTGATTTGCAATAACGACAAACGTGTATTTTGTTAGCCACAAGTTCACTGCGATCGTACAGCGAAGAACGATAAGATGTTAAAACGTGATGTATTTGTGATTCTTATTTCTTGAAACACTTAAACGCGACTGTGTTAATTACTGGACAAATTTTTAACTGTTCTCATAGCAAAATTGAACATTGACTTCGCGTTTGATTCATCGAGTTGACGAAGTTAGATACGAGATCGAGCAAGTGTACAAAAAGACGAAGCTAGTGCACTTATTCGTATGTATATATATATATGTTTATATATATAAAACGAGTGAGAACAGAAACTATGAGAAAAACGGGCAGGAAAAAAAAAATAAAAGTTAGGCTTGACTAAGTCATGTGAGTGTGATTTGGTTGCTGGGTTGCTTCCTACCTTGCCACCCTACAAATTCTCCAGCTTCGCCTGAGGAACACAAGAGCACACATTAGTACGGCAGGTAGGTAAGGTCAGGTTGATGGCGGTAAGGTCTAGTTACTCTGCGGTCGCATAGTGAATAACGTTCCGAATATTACTCGAACAATGTGAAAATATATAGCTCCAGCAACTATGAAGATCTCTCGGTAAATGCCATTTTAAGAAGTTTACTATAACATCTTCCCGTACAAACTCTCAGCAGATCGATCAATACTTTCTATTTTTATAAAAACGTGTTATAATAAAACTGTAGACATAGGTTTACTGTTTCATATTCTTAAAAATAAATGGGTAAAGATATTTAAAAGCGTATTAAAATAAAAAAAAGGAAAATAGTATAAATAAAGAACTTACTTTATCATTAAGTGAAACGTTAAGTCGATTTTTTACTCTCGATGCAAGAAAGAAGATAGCAAGAGAATTAATGTAAAATGCTAATAATAATGATATTAACTTGAAAACTACACCACTGCACGTAACTAGACAATTCAAAAACCAATCCACTCCACATCACAGCAATCCAATCCACTTTTAATAATTACTTATTCATTTATTGCTGTGTGGTTTTTGGTATGCATGCGTCTATGCCATTCTCCTCTCGCAATTATTGTCAATGCCAGAAAAAAAATCAATGAGAATCTAGCATAAAACTGAGCTCTTACCTTGTCTAGTCGGATCCATACTATTTGGCATCATTGGCTGTCCCGGTGGCTGAATTCAAAATCAAAAAACAAATAACGCGTTACCAATTGCTCTTTACAAACCATAATTATGTTATATTCGAAAAGTGTAATTATACACACCCCGTTGAAGTCATTTCCCATTTGCGGCATACGTACTCCGGGTCTTGGTCCAGCGGGATACCGTGGACCGCCCATGAACTGTAACAAGTAAAATATCTACGCGTTAAACAAAGAGAATTTAAAGATACGTAAATAAAAACAGCATAATTCGTTATAGCTATCGTACGTTACAAAACTTACACACCAGGCAGCCGCAACAAGCAATCGATCACATACTAGGCCATACGACATGTGCTACGATAAAAGTCGTAGGGCACATTATCAATACTTGTATTTTGTTAATGTGCAAGTAGGATCACAGACAAGGGTCGATATTTAACAGAAAACAAGTCAAAGTGAACCGAAATGTCGCGTACGATGCAACTCTTACCTTGTATTATTAAGCCCATATCATAAACATTAACAATTTATTAATCTTCTTCCTTACCTTTAGATACGCATATTCAATAATTTACATTACATTACAAACACAGTTTTATTGTTTGGTTTAGATCATGTATTTTAGTGTACAAAAAACTCTGTCTTTTAACACAACCCTGTAACCGTGGTACGTCCTGTGCGTGACGAAAGGGTTGCGAGTAACTTTGATAGGAGTAAAAGCGAATTCGAGCAAACGGTCATAAGGTAAACGATGATAATGGTGTAATGAGAGTGGATCTTCGTGATGAGTGATAAATGTGTAGTGTGTCGAATGAGGCTTACCTGAGTGGACATCATCTGCGAGTGTGGGGGCGGGGGTGGCTGGGGGTGCTGGGGGGATGGCTGTGATGAGGGGTGTGTGGGCGGAGATGGTCGCATTGTCGAGTTGTTCTGCAACAAGCAACGCAAACGACAGACATGTAGCAACACTGCGATCCAGGCAACAGCTAGACTAGAAGGCTTGGGTATGATTTTGTGTTAATACTATGTTGGTCCGCACCTTAAAAATCTAAAAGTTATCATTACAATATTAGAAAAAGAGAACAAAAAATATCAGTTCTCGCCTAGCCAATATTTTCCACGCGAAATACGGTCGTTATCGAACGCTTGAGAATATCCCATTTCATATTGAAACAAAAGTTTGACATTAAATAAAAAAATAAATAAATAAAGTCTCTTCTTTAAAATATATAGAGATATCTCAGTAAAATCGCGATGATGTTATGTATTTTTAACTTTACATTCTTTTGGTAGTTTTCAATTTTTATACCTATCGTAAAGGATTCATTGAAGTTGCTTGTATCGAATACTAGACTACTATCTAAGCAGGCTTCTGAATTGAACGTAGAGAAGTGTGGCCTATTATCATCCTACTATAAAAAATGAGTTGCTAAAACTATTTTCTAACATCTATACAAAATCTTTCCTGGTACATTTTTCTGGTTTATTTCCTGCTTTATGCAAAGAGGAGATCAGAGAGTGAAAATGGTAAAGGAACGCACATTCAAGTGTTAGATACATAGCAGAGAGAAAATAAGTACATAGATACAGTGTTGACAAGCATGGCATGAGAATTTTAATTGAACGTACACTTGTTTCAAAACCCAACGACACCGTGTACACTTTACAGTAACCATATAAACAAAATGGACGTTTCATATGAACAAATATCAATTAATACCACTAAGACTTCACAAGTAAGACAAGTATTTACAGAATTACTTCTATGAAGTACAAAACATCATAAGAAATTAATTTGTATTTTAACAGTATCAACAGTTTGTATTTAATAACAGGATAAGCATAGCCAAATTTCATAAACTAAACTGTCAGTTTTAATCCGAATGAACCGTAAATCGTAAAAATATTTCTTTATGTTCAAATTAATAAAATAAATGTTGAGAGCTTTGAATCAAGTGTAGAATTATAATGAATGAGAGTTATAACTAGGCATAACAATGATAACAGATATTTATACATATTTATGTATGTACATATAAATATTCGTGATGTGTCTATATACAATTATAACACGTCTAATTTTTTTATAGTAAAGACTATAAAAGCTACGATTTCGTATGTGTTATTTTAAGAAAGAAAGACAAAGTAGATAAAACATTTTGTTTGTTTGTTGTTACAAGAGTAGTTTATGTAGTAAAAATATTGTTTCATTTCTTCACTCTCCTCTTCGTGATATACATACACACATATAGTCAGAAAAAACATGTTCCATAGTAAATCATTAATTACGCCATACATCGTAGAATAAGAAAGTTTACAATTAGAATCATTTAAGACAGAAGAGAAATAAATTGTAAAATATTTTTAACATCCTATTTGTATGGAACAAATTAAATATAATAATTTATTAAACGAAAGTAAGAACAATGGCTTGAATCCCAAATAAAACTTATCTGTTTGAAACGGAATAAAACAAAACATGAATAATAGAGAATGAAAAAGCTTACTGGGAAAAATGCTGGAGGCATCGGACCACCAGGCATACCATCGTTGGGTGGCATTTGTCCTATGGGGGAAGGCGCTGGACCAGCATTCTGTAATTATATCATAAATATCTAGTAGTCAAATTCTACCAATTAATGCGTCAGTAGAACATCGTCTTAGCTTTTCTACATGCATCATCTATCGATAATCTCTGTCATCTACGAATGGTATTCATATAAGAGGTCAACTATGGTTTAAACGTAAATTATTAGGATTATAATAAAATATAACTTACATGAGCAATGCCGTTGACGCCATAACCACTGTTCACAAAGCCCTAAAACAAAATATTTTTCATGAGAATCTCTTCAGACACGATACACAAATAATTTGTCAATCATGAAATTATACTAACGTAATCGTGGAAAGCTTTGGCCTCACTGCTGTGTTCACAGGAATCCCGCCGTTCTGGTGCTGCCGAGTATAGGTCCCAGAATACACTACAATATTTAGAAACATAAACGTCGAGTTAGTTTGCAGCTCTTGTCAGATAAGATAAAACAAAGCATAATGCTTACCACCACCAAGAGTGTAAGAAACCAGGTGGCTCGCCAAGTGTAATATTCTTTTCCCATCGTATCTGTGCAATAAAATACCGCATAATTATAATAATGATGTAATTATATTTTCTACACTTCATTAGTGAATTAGTTATCGAATGATTACCTCCGACAAGAATGTCTGTGCTGCCTTTTGTGCGCCAACATGTAATAAATATTCATACACGTACAGTGCCAATCTGGAACATTATAAATAATTTCCAAATAAATATAAAGTAATCGTTCGCAGGAAAAATAAACTCAAACTTACGATGCATAATAAAGTATTATTTTTACATGACAAAACTACTATAAATCGTTTAAGAAATTGAAAATCATTTATCGATATTTGTACAAATTGTATTTCTTGTGTTAAGTGAAAATATGCAATATGTTCGATTGCATTATTAAACGCATGTATTCGTTTGTTTATACGATTAAGAGAAGAGGCATCGTCACTAAATTAAAACAACGGAATTATTTTTTCAATCTGTATTGCATCTCATAAAGAAAACAATACTATTTCTGTACAATGTCATTATTACTCGTTATAGTATTTTGCGTAAACTATTATACTTCTTGGTTGCAAACGATAAAAACATGGCGCCCAATCGGCCTGCTTTGCGAGACAAGTGACTCTTGTGAGTCATAGCATACAGTTCAGTCGAATTTACGAGAAAGCAGGTTGCGGGCATGTCGAAAAAGTAAACAACTCGATTCTCGAATGTTTCCTTCAAATCTGTAACTGTAACCGTAACATTGATCCCGCCCGCAAAATTAATCAGAAGCAGGTACATCGAATATTATTCAGATATTTTTCCTTTTCATCTGCGCGAGAGTATCGTATAATTTAATTAGTATTAACATTTCCATAATGAGACCAGAAGTGATAAAGTTCATGAATATCGTTATCATGCCGGAATTGTTCAATGAATCCGATTCCTCTTTTGGAGCAACCAATATCCATGTACATATACGCACGCTCGGTAGACAGAAGAAAAAAATGGAGTTGGTCGATCAATCGGCAAATTTTTTTCTGATATTCCTTTTTTCTGTTTAAAATGGTAAATTCGAGTAATACATACTTTTCTCTCGCTTGAGCGTCCGAGGGTACCGAGGACGCCTTCCCCTTCGCGTACATCCTCGAAGACTGTCAGTTTTTCCAGTGTAAACAGAACCACCGTTTCGTCCTAGTGCCAGAGAGAAACTGAGAGTGCTCAGTTCGGGGTTTTCGCATCCCCCATACTATCTCTTTGCTAGTGCTAGTAAATGTCCGTCGATGCAGGTAGCCCGCGGTCAAAGGAACCGTAAGTACCGTCCGGCTCAACAGAGGATTCCGGTGTTAACGTGGCACGTTCGTTCCGAAACGGAAATAAAATGCAACGGAGAACTTATTTTTCTATCGGTCATACACACGTCACAAACACGAGCACAGCCGCGGCCAGCAGCATATACTAGATACAGTACTCCGCATCATGGCTCGAATTGCGGATGCATGACCGCGGAACGAACGCGCGTCGTCATCGCGTTCGCAGACTTCGCACTCTTCCCCCTGTCGACGCGGTTCACTTTGCCTTTCCTCCCCGTTTTCTCTTTTACCTACGATAGTTCCTCGCCCGATTGAATCGAGAAACCTGCGCGCAGGCTATACCACCGTCGCGTCGTTGTAATTCGATGTTAAATGACGGCCGCGTCCCTCTCACCGATGTTGCGTTCGGTCACTTCACTCTCTTCAGCTTCGGATCGCCACTCACCTTACCTCACCTCGCCTCACCTCATTAACGATACAGACGGACAGATAGACGGACAGACGCACGGGCGGACACGCTCGCACTTTACCCGTGAAGTTCACTTTGTCGATCCCGAAATTCTTGATGCGAAAACGTTCGACCCCGTGCAGATTCTACCTACTGTTCTTTCACCTTTTTTCCTTTCTACCTATCCGGTAGTGGACGAACCACCGTGTCACTTTACACACGCGCATATGATACGAGTGAACTTATTTTTGTATAACACAACACGGCGTACGAACGTCTATACACGGAAACCGTTACCTATCTTCTTTGCTCTTAGTCCCATTGTCTATCTTTCTCCCCACCAAGAATTATGAGCTGCGCGCGCAGCCGTTGCTTTTCACGGCAGGATCGTACGTAAGTTATCTTTTGTTTATTCTTTTAACTACGATTCCTTTCCAGTTCAGACACATTCGATTAAACTCAGTCAAAACAGTCGGGCTTTTAACCAGAACTCACATGAGCCTCGTTGATCACAAGCTTCTTTCTCTACAAGCAGACTAATACGAATAACATGAACATACATCAATTTCAGTAGTTGTAAACTTGATCTTTGATACTCGACATAGAAAGAAGAAAAATTGATTCACGTATAATGATACTTACTCAAGATTCTCTGAAAGAAACAAATGTGACGTTTAGTAGGCGTTTCATTTTCACGTGTATCGATAATAACGAGAAGAAATATAATCGCGTTCGGAGATTTCACCTATCGAAGGTACATCACTGGCTGCAACAGTACGTACTATTGGATGCCGATCGTTGTATGTGAGGTTCGTGTATTCGTCTGTACATAGCACGCATAGCTCATACATGCAAGCTGTTGGCTTGAGCTACCGATAGCGGGGATAACCGAACCTTGCCGAGCATTGCCGATGCAAAATAGCCGACAATTGACTGAGCGTCGAGGGGTCGGACAGAAAAGAGACAAGCCATTCCTTCGGGTGTACAGCTTCCCCTTTCTCAATTTTATCCTGGAATTGATGTATCTCATTTCTCGAAATAAATGATTGTCCCACAAGATTCCCTTCTTTGCAGAATAATTATCATTGAGCAACTTCTACCCATGTGTACATGAATACCTAAAAGATATTAATTAGACTATAAGTTCCTCGATTATTAAATCAGATTGAAAGTTTCGATCGATTATTTCCAATTGAATTCCTATCCCGAACTCAACTGTATATCACAGATATCTTATCTTCTTCTATCTCCCTACTATTCTTATATAAATGTAAAAATGCATAATTGCCATTACGTTTGTTAGTGTGACAAATGGATGGTCCAGGTACAATCACGTGGGAGGAATTTGTCGAGAATGCCGAGAGTTTTGTAAATATGTCGAATCGGATCTCTGACGGATGGGAATTTCGCGGTGACAAGGTGATTTTTGTTAACTATGAGTCTCTGAAGCGAGAGTGAAAAGGCAGATACATTTGCAGAGCGTGCCGGGCGAGGCGTACGTCGCTCGGCAACGGAAACGATACATTACCGGCGATTATTTGGCGCCGGAAAATGACGATTTCAATTTCGTATCGGAGCAAGACCCGTTCGAGGCTGATTGCCCGATCGAAAAACCATTAGTTACAGAACATCACGTACTATGGTCGATGAGCTACGGCGTTCCGGTGCTTTATTTTAACGGATGGAAATCAGGTGAACTTAAATTTAAGCCGCGCTACATCCTCGTTTTTTAATGATACTCGGTGAATGTCGTTAATTTTATAACCGCCTATTCATCAAAAATACGAATTGTCTATTACAATCGTTCGCTGATCACCACTAGACCTTAATCTGGTGTGTACAGCCGGTTGAAAGTGGCAGGCGACGTAATGCTGATTGTTCCTTCGATTGTACCCTATCTTCTCGAACTAGGCTAAGAAGGCGGCAAACGGATCAAGAGTTGGCGTTCAATGGCACACGAGAAACAAAAGGAATCGCATGCATTCTTCATTATCGATCATCCTGAATCGATGATTTTTTAATATATTTTTCCAACGCTCCTTTTTATATTCCTGCAGATTTCCCTGGAATTAATCCGATATCTGTAGAAGAAGCACAGTCCCTCGTACGTAATGCAGAATTGAGATACACAGAATTGTCTCAAGCGATACACCCGATATTGGGTACACCGTTTTTATATCTGCATCCTTGTATGTCTCACGAGCTCCTGCAAGTCACGAGCAATAGGTAACTATATTTCACGTATGAATATGAACGATTTGTAAATTATTGTATTTTGTTTCAGCAAAAATAAATTAATCAGCTGGCTAAGTACTGTTGCGCCCGCTGCGCTCAATCTCGAATTATCATCAGAATATTGTCAATTGACTGTAATAAAGTGACTATAAGTTGGCATAAATCAATCGCATTTCTTTAAACCTTTTCCTATGTCTCCTACGATTGCGAACAATTAAATTTTCGATAGAAATCCCATACGATTCACCGCCTCCGTTGCTCGGCGAAGCTGAGCTTCGAGTGGAGGAACACGGTTGGTCGGAGCGGCGGCCGAAATTAGTCGAACGCCAATTGCATCGCACCGCTGATAAAATTCGCTTCCCTTCCTCCTTGATTCCCCACCACCCGCGCGATTTTCGAACGTTTGGCTCGAATTACAAGTTTCTAGCTGCGGCACAGTCCCGCGACTGTCATCGCACGGTATACACGAAACCGCGATATAACGTATGGATCGCCGTGTTCGCACATCTCTCCCGTATTCTCTCTAGTTCGACTCGAAACGAATTTGTTAACAAACGATTCAACGGTAAATAAATACACGCTGTTCACGTGAATAGGTCTCGCGAAAGCTGCGTACTTATTGTGCAGAAGTGTTTGGTTTCTCAGAGATTGAAAACGACGGCTGTGGAAATCGTTCCAGGTAAGAGACTCCTTTATAGAATTCTATAACGTTGTGCAATTTGTTTTATATCAAATTACTGTCAACGGCTGCCAGCTGATGATTCAATGTATTTCGTGCTGTAAGTAGATATTACAAACTGTACGCAATACCACGTGTCCGTGATTAAAATATAACAGAATACAAACTCAGTTATTGTTGCGTTAACGTCTGTTTCTTATTGACAGTAATTTTCTTATTCATTGCTTTGATTGAACGACTCCTGAAACTCTTAAACTGTATAGACCGCGATTCTCCGATTCTCATCTATCATTGAACATCGTACAACAGTGCCGAAACAAAACCAGATAACGTTTTTAAAACATTTACACAACGTCTTGCTCGAATTCGAAACATTAAAATATGGTTTTGGCCGTGGTATGACACCGCTTAACAAACGGCTATTTATTAACGAGGCCACAGAAACGAAAACCGAAGAACGTTCCGACTACCTGTTCAAACATGCCACTTCATACCGCGCATTAATTTTATCTTCGAGCGTCAGCGATTCAGCTGTAAATTTTCAATACCTCGTCCATTATTCGTTTTGCACGATAATCCAAGTAGTTTAAAAGTAACTCCGAGACTCGCAATGCGTTCCGTGCGCTCCTGACGCGTTTTAATTCTCTATCCAAGGAATTCAGGATATGCTAATAATTACAAATGAAGGTGCTTGCAACGTACAACGGATCTGTGGAACTTCGAAATAACTAAATGCAGATGATTGTCATTAAAAGCTGAGAATATTGAATGTAAACGATCGTCGAAAATAGACGCGTTTTTGAGCCCGTTACGCATTGGCTATATATTTTATTTTTGACATCCGCATAACGGCTTGTGGTCTATGCTTATGTAACATTGTTGTTACGCTATTTACTAAACGAGATTTATCGCACTCCTCTGAAACGTACAAACAAGTTCGTAATCAAGCTAGGAAATGTGTTCCTTTAACGGTGGGAGAGGAAAGTTCTTTTGTGTCCTGTTTTTTAATGAAAATGAGAATAACAGAACTATAAAGTCGTCGTTTACATCTTTGTTACATAAGAATGTAATTGCGTTCTTGAATCGCAACTATCTGTATTCTTTGGTAATTTGCATGTTGACTCCATGGAATTTGAAACAGATGTTGTTATACACTATTACGTTCAGTTTCCTATGTCTGTATAAAAATGGATGAAATAGATATTTGATTCAAATTGCAATTACAGATTATTGATATATCTAGTATAGATAAATTGGATCGCGATAAGCACATTTCTACTGCAAATTGTAGTCTGGGTCGCATAATAAGATCAAGGTTATCGTTCCTGGATATTAAAAAGCAACATTTTTATGACTACGTAAGCAACTTTCTGTAAAGTATTTCAACACTCGATGCAACAGATTTTCTTATATCCGAATGATCAAAATAATTCTGAACATGTTATATCAGAATTGCGCCCGGTGACCTTTTCTGAAAAATTGCAATTACGAGCGTGAAGTTAATAATAACCGTACGAAATTGAAGATTATAGTATTCTACAATTGCAGTTAATTGGGTTGATTCATGGTTTATAAGAAGATGAAAGTTAATTACTCTAAAACGCAACCTTTGAAAGTGTAGAATTCGTAACATCGGGAAATGGAATTAAAAATTCGAAGGAGGATTTATCACGCATGTGCGCAAGGATCGGTCTCGAGATTTGAGAAACGATCATGCTCGAGTCCTGCGATAAAAAATTATGAGCCAGAGGCAACAAGAATCTAAACCCCTACGAAACTTCATTTAGATCAGGCAGGACGAACAATTTACCAATATAATTGGGAGTAACGAGCAAAGGGTTACCCGCTCTCGTTCAATTAAAAGTACGCTCAATTACAAAGCAAGTGATCTACTTGTTAAAACCTTTCCTATCAAATATGCAAATTAATTTTGCGTTGATATTCCGTCGTTCTTGTCGAGATCAGGGAGTATATTCTCAAAAGGAATCGAAGTTTCCGCCGACGACGCCTCGATCCCATCGCTACGTGTATATCATCAGCTGATTGCGTCACGGTCCGGTTCTATATGATAGTTCATTAAATTGCCGGTAATTCGTAGTTGTGGGGCTATTTTATGTAGTATAAATGAATGAACATTATCGTCCAACACTTTGAAGCCGATCCACGTTAAGGCCAATTTACCATGTCCATTGATCAGCCTGCTTTTACTCCTTTTCAAACGGTTTACCATACCCAAATTTCGAACCGTTCCTATGTACTTAAGTTGTACTGCGCGCGATTTTTGCGAATTTTATCTCTCGACAAACTGCAGGTTGCAAGTTCTCATCTTGGAACTTGAATCTTGCAAGTAAACAGAATAATTCATTGGTATTTTTCTTCTTATATTCTTCTCTGTTGAATTATACTGGATTTATGGACATGCGTTATGATCGAATAATGTAACGAATTCGCGGCGCTGACTAATCGCAGTGCCGCATGTATAATTATTTAACTTATCGTGCGGCTCTTTATGCGGCAACTACGCGTAATCCGGTTGAGAATGATAATTCCTGAATCACAGAGGAAGATCCTAATCTCTGTCTCGATAAATTGTATCCATGAGAATCATAAAAACGGTCTGCAAATTTTCAAATTGACAATAAAAGATTCGAGGTTTCACAGATTATGTAAATTTGAAGATCTATTGATCTCAATAATGAAGAACCGGATTAGAAATTATATTATTATTAGTAGGTCGCAATACAAGTTCTTTGGATCATAAATATTCCAGAAATGTTTTGTTCTGAAGAATTAAAAGCAAATAGGACGCGTATTCGTGAAATTTAGGTTTCGTGAAACGAGGGAGACTCTGATGGCCCAAATAACGGTAGAGAGATAAAGCTTTCTTCCTCTCGACGAACAGTAAAAGTGACCTATTTGTACCACTTTGGTCCTACTGTGTTCAATGTCGAACTATAGAAAACGGGATCGTTAATCGCTAGGCTTGCGAGTTTACGACGTGGACATTTCTCGTCCCATCCTAACGGGACCAGTTATAAACTTGACCCACCTCGACCCTTCTTGTCGACGGCGAAAGTATTACTTCCTTCCTCGCATCAAATGATCGCCCACAATTTCAATGTTCTTTTCGCCAAGCAAAAATCAGTTTAAACAGAGGAGATAGAAATTCAAATTTAGAACCAATTTTAAAAACGATTATTTTGCTAAGTATCCCCGCATTTCTTCCATTCTTCACAGTTCAATAAGAAATTGCAAAAAGTTTTTCAATGTCGTTTAATCTGGTCCACAGACCAAGGGAGAGCGCAAAGATCTACACGGTGAATCATCAAGGATTCAGTGTTGTTATCATTTAATCCCGTTACAAAAAAGAGATACCGGAGGAAGAGGATCTTTATCGTGGAAGGAAGGAAGGAAGGGATCGGTGTGTATGATCGTAGGAAGGTGAATCGAGGAGAGAGAGAGAGAGAGAGAGAGAAAGAGAGTGAGTGTGCGTGGGTGTGTGGGAGAGTGAGAGAGAGAAAGAGCGAACAAACAATAGACGCGTAACCCGGTGCTCCCGATGGGGTCGTAGTTGCGCGTATTTGTAATGTATCTGACGATGATAGGCCAGCAGGCAGGAAGAGATCGTCGTAGGGGGATCGCCATAGCTAATCGTACCACCCAAGGTGGCACAGATTGAGAGCTCTATCAGCACACATCCTCTCCTGGGCACCCATCACCCGATACGTGAGCACGTAACCACCGTACGTACGTTTTGATTAAAAAAAAATACTCTTTCGCTCAGCTTCACTCTCTCCCATGTGAATACTCATGCAAGCTAGCTACATTTCGTATCTTTCTCTCCCACTGTTTCAGCTTCGACGTGTTTCATGGGTAGAGTCGAAGAGTCGAGATATTTCTGAAAGTGTTTGCAATTTGCTCAGTTCCATAGGTCTACATGATAATGGCAACCCTTTGAAGGAGATCAAGTCGTTCAATTATCCGTATCTTTGATTACTATAATAGAATTGTCTAATACTTCGGTACCAGTTCACCGTTGCACGATTGACACTTGTACACCATCGTTTCTCTGCAAATATTAATTGTTTCTAAAATAAGTTAACGTTGAATTTTGTACTTTTCGGACAGGGAAGAAGCCAGCACCGTGGTCGATCAACGGATCACCGGATCAATCCCTTTCGAGCCTCTCGACCTCTCCTGCTCGTTCGCACCGCCTTCCCTTCCCCATCGGGGGCGCGACATACACAGCAGCCGCTTCCGGCTAACCGGAAGTGACGCTCTATGCGAACGGGTGACCACCGTCTTTTGTCGGGATACCAATACCACGCAAACGTAAACCAGCACATCAAACGGTCACCATGGAAGTCGCCACTGAACTGTACGTATCTCTCCTCACCACCGTTCATCTCTTTCTCTTCGTCTTCTCGCACTTCCGGAAGTTGTTGTTCGATCACTTTTAGACTGCTGATTTTTTTAACATCCGTGATGTCAATTTAAAAAATGAAATCCAAATTGACACTTCATTTTGGAAATAATGATACCTTCGGAAATATTATATTTTTAATGATCATATTTTTGCACATCATATTTTTCGTACTTTCTGCACATCGTCGATCTAATTGTTATTTACGTAACTCAAAGAGATTTAGATTATGAAATTGGATCTAGTGTGTAGCCATTGAAATATGAATGATGTTCACACTCCGAGAATCAGTGTTTAAATTTATTTTCTATAACACAGTATATACTCTCTTATCGTTTTCTGGAAGATTTCCAAGTTGTTTGGATACGCCGACGTGTTAAAATCAAGCGGAACCATGAACGCGGCATTGACAAGCAGATGAAGTTTCTCCTTTAATTTAGTTGCATCATCGGCTCGGCTAATAAATTCGCGTAAAAAGATACACTTACGAAACGAAGTATCGCCTATCGAATTCCCGGTATTTCGCTAAACGATCCTTTCACTTTCATTTATTTCTTCTTCAAAGCACAAGGACTTTGGCAAAGTTGACAAAGGATTTTGGCAAAGGATTGAAAAAGAAGACAAAATAAATAGACCTTCTCGTAGATTCAGTAATGAATATTAAGTAGGTAGTAGATTTCATTCGAAATTTGGGTTTGCACAGGTAGTAGACTTTCGTAATCGGTCTAGTCTAGTGTTCAGGAGACGAGATTCTAAAGACGAACGACGCGGCAAGGTCATCGAGACTTGAGAACAGTGATCAGCGGATCTCTTCAGGGCTATTTAATCCGAGGTCGGCTCGTAAAGGTTCAATCAAATCATAACTACCTAAGACTACTGACCCTTGAGCTCGAGCTATGGCCTATAAGCGTTCTGTGTTAATCCAAAAATTTGAAACATGTCATTTGATAATGTGTTTGATGATCCAATTGATTTAGGGATCAACATTAAACCTTGAGAATCTCCTTATAATCTTTTGAGACACAGGAGATTTTAGTTAGCAATTACAGATATGGAATTGATTTCTACTTATTAGATTAGGAAATCTGATTTGTAAAAATATGAAGGATTAATGATTTTTTTTTAATTAATCAAATAATCGAGTAATTCATTGGAATACTTGCTAAGCATTTAAGTAGTATTGATTGTTTTATTCGATTAGAACGAAACGTTATATTCGCGTACTGAATTAAGACGAAGCGGAACGTGTGCGGAGATATAATGATGGAGTTAGGCGAAGTCATTGTCAATCATCGTGCTGTCCTGTACACTTGTCGCGCGTAGTAACTACAAATGCTTAGCGCATCTAAGATCTAAAGAAAACGATTTCCTATCAGAGGCATTAGGCATTTGAAGATTGATCGTGAGATGAGATACAATGTACTATTATTCGTCTTCCATCATTTTTTCTAACAGCTCGTGCTATTTAGTCACGGTGACCGAGTTATCAAACTAGTTAACACCGTCGTAAGATTAACTCCCACAATTAACCCATCTTCTATTTGAACAGCGTCTCACATTCCAGGAATTTTTTCTCGTCGATGATTTATTCGCGTCGATTAGTCAACACTAATACGCATGTAAAATATTGCGCTCTTCGTTTACGATCCTTCGTGCTCTTTGTTAACAAAACATGAAGAATATAATTATAATAATTTTGAATAATCTTAATTAATCTTAATAATTGGAATATCAAAAATCTCGTCAGGTCTCCGTTGTCAGGATCGGACACACAATGCAAGATCACCGAGCGGACGTCGTATTATCCTCAGGAGCCGAACAAGAGGCCGAAGACCAGACAGGAAAAGGTCCGAGCCTGTCTCAAACACAATGCCTTGACGATGTTAACTGTCGCCGGTGTGTTCGGTGGCGTGATCCTAGGTATCATCCTGAGGAACGTCAGGACGCAGGGATGGTCGGCGCGCGAGATCATGTACATCAATTACATCGGAGACCTGTTCCTGAGGATGTTGAAGAGCTTGATCTTGCCGTTGATCATATCCAGCTTAGTCTCGGCCATTGGCTCGCTGGATTTATCACTCAGCGGCAAGATCGGCGCGCGAGCTATAGTCTATTATATGACGACCACTGTCAGTGCCGTTGTGTTAGGTCAGTGAAGATCTTCGGATATCTATTCAAGTGATAGGAGCATGGAATAATTTCGACAATGTCCCCAGGTATAATTCTGGTGATCAGTATTCAACCGGGTGTGGGAAACAATCCCCAGACTAAAATGAAGGGGAAACCTCAGAACGTTTCAACCATCGACACTCTAATGGATTTGATCAGAAACATGTTCCCACCGAATCTCGTGGAGGCGTGCATTTCTCAACACAGAACGGAAATGCAGAAACCCGAGAACAGTTCAATAGGTTGAGATCTCTTTTAAGAAGTGTAACGAATAAAATTCAATACGTATAATGGCGTAATGTCAGTGTGTCTCCTGTTGAAACAGTTAACATGGATTACTGGGAACCGGTGCAGAAGAGCGTTTCCGGTACGAACATCATGGGGCTAGTAGTCTTTGCGACTGTGTTAGGAATAACTTTGGGAAAAATGGAACAACAGGGTAAACCGCTTCTCCTCTTCTTCGAGTCCTTGTCCTCTGCTATGATGTTAATAACTCACTGGGTGATCTGGTAATTATTTTCATATCGGAATCGTAAAATGATATTATTTCTATTTAATTAATCTTAATTTCTAGGCTGTCTCCTTTGGGTGTACTCTTTCTGGTAGCTGCCAAGATCACCGAGATGCAATCGCTGGATCAAGTAGTCGCTCAGCTAGGAATGTATTTCCTCACAGTCCTTATCGGTCTCTTTATTCACGGTTTCATCGTGTTACCTCTATTATATTTCGTGATAACGAGGAAGAATCCTTACGTGTACATCTCGAACCTGGCCCAGGCGTTGGTCACCGCGTTCGGAACTTCTTCCAGTTCAGCCACTCTCCCAGTTGCAATCAATTGCTTAGAAGAAGGAAACAACATCGATCCACGGATCACCAGATTCGTTTTACCGATCGGTGCTACTATTAACATGGATGGTACCGCGTTGTATGAAGCAGTAGCTGCGATTTTCATCGCCCAAGTGCGTCAAGTTAGCCTCAGCTTCGGGCAGCTGGTAGCGGTCAGGTAATTATCGAATGGCACAACTGTTTAATTCATAGGATAAATAGCTTATGAAGGAATCTTTGTGTAGCATCACGGCGACTGCTGCAAGTATTGGGGCCGCTGGTATCCCACAGGCAGGTCTTGTGACGATGGTGATGGTACTGGAGACGGTTCGACTCCCGGCCGACGATGTCTTCTTGGTCATTGCCGTTGATTGGTTACTGTAAGCTCTTCCTGTTCTTGTTTATTATTAAAAATCGTGAAACTGACACGTATGTATGTTTTCACATGAAATTTTAATCTTGAATCTTCAGAGATCGCTGCAGGACAACGGTGAACGTGGTGGGTGACTCTCTCGGAGCAGGGATCGTGAACCATCTGAGCAGGAACGAGCTAAACGCGATGCAGCACAACACGCAACCCCAAAACGGCGCCGACCACGGCACAACGTCTATATGAGATCGATAATGATTGTTATCTCGATTGATAATTCCTAAACGCTGTCGACGGCGATCAGCGTCCGCTTTCTTCTTCAACACTTTGTTCGCTATGTCGCACATTCTAATCGAAGAGCCATCGAGGTCTTTGACGAAGTTCAAGCATAATAATTAGATTACGGGTTTCGATGCATTTATAATTGTGCTGAATTTTGAACAATGCGCCTGTCAGTATGAAAAAATAATTGAAGGAACGTGCATGCTACGAATTTCATTCCTTAGTATTCGAAATGTTTCATTTTGCATAGAAATCCGCAATCTAATTATGATCCTCCGAGAGCTGCGATAATAGCGCGCGCGTAGCTACTATACTCTTGTAGATTTTCCATCCTTGGAAAAAGGGTTTGCCGTTATATATATTTTGTATGTGAAACCGGTGAGTACCAGATTCGTTCGATCAAAGTACAAAGGTAATTGTGGAATGATCTGATCATGTTTTAATGGTCGTCCTAAGTTGATGTAAGTTCAATTTAAATGGTACGAGATCCGTTTGTTCAAGTTCGAACGTACGAGAAGCGAAAAACACGATTCCTCTCGTCGATTAATTGCGTGCCATATACTTTAAAGTGTTAAACAATACAAATGTGTAGCGTGCTATTTTCTTCCTGAAAACAGGTTTCCCTCTTTATTTACATCCCTCAAACGGTATGATGAACGTGTAACTGCCCGAGTGTTCTAATTTATTCGAAAAGTGTTCCGTTTTGTTTTTTTTTTACTCCCGAACTCGTTCACGGCGAAACATCGTTCTCTTCTCGTGAAGTAAAAGCTAATATTCTATTCCAGAAGCATTTCACGTGTCGCTGTCTTTTAAAAATAAGCGACATATTTATACTTACATAGAAAATATGTATCTGAGCATATATATGTATAAATATAGTTGAGACGTGTAAAATCCCGGTGTTACATGATTATTTTAGCTACTATTTACATCTTAATCTTTGTCTTCCATTATAATCTTTTTCTAAAAAATGTTAGCGATAATACAGAAACATTCATAACTGTGTTCAATTTCCTATAGATTGTAAAGGGTGCAGAAGAGAAGTTGTTTCAAGTTGATTCAGATTAGCGATTTAAAAAGCCAGTGACAGTATTGTTGTGATGCCTCACTGCAATAGACGAAGAAGTTCAAATTTGTTAAAAAGTAAATCAATATACTTTGTTACTTTTTAAGATCGGACAGAAAAATTATTAACGATACATTATCACGTTTATACGGTTACATTGGTGCATGCAATGAGTGTAACTGATTAGTCAATCTATTAGGTCCTTTCATAGAAGTTTATAAAAAAATTAAATATGATTAAAAAAAAGTATGTTTAATGTACTAATTACGTGCATGATTTGGACCGTTTATTATTGATTGACTTATGAAACGACCTAATATACACTTTTAACTTACTCATTGTTTTATGTATTAGGTGTAACTTAAGTTAATTGAACTTTGTTCATTTTTAATATCGAAAATAAATTTGTAAATCACTGACAAAAATCTGATTGATATGGAAAAGTACTTCTCGATTGTTAAAAAGGGAAGATCGACGTAGAAAAAATGATTTAACGATGGAACAACGTTATAACGTAAAAATGTTTTTAATGTTAAGGCATGATTAAAACTAATACTCATATCCTATCGTAATTAATCCCGTGAATAAATATAATGTACAGTTATCACTTTGCAATCGAATTTCGTCAGTAGAATTTCTGTACATGTACGTATTTAAATAATTGCCATAGTTGCTTAAAAAGAAATATACTGTATAATATTTATTTGTACAATAAATGTACAAACTGATGTAACAATCAAGTTTTATTGCCTGTTTCTAAACGAAATCATGCGTGAACATTTAAATAGGAGTACGAAATAATTCACTAACATGATTACAGAAAATTATTTATTTCAATCGTAGTCTCTATCTGTGCATAATATAGCATTTTTTTTGTTTTCATTAATTCTGTATCGTCAAGTTACTTTTCGATTTGCGTTGTCACGAGTAATATTTTAAGTGGCAGTTGCAGAAAAATAAATATATATTACATTA